ATGGCCGCTGCGGCTGGCGCACCGCGCTGATCCGATGGCAGGAGCCAGGTGCTTCTCCTGGTCTCCCATGGGGTGCAGGGCCCAAGCACTTGGGCCATCCTCCACTGCACTCCCTGGCCACAGCAGAGAGCTGGCCTGGAAGAGGGGCAACCGGGACAGAATCCGGCGCCCCGACTGGGACTAGACCCCGGTGTGCTGTTGGAATAGGAAGCAGTGCGCTCGCTGGCACTCTCTCTCTCCCTCTCTTCCCCTCTCTCGCCTTCTTTCCCCTCTCTCCCCTCTCTCTCCTTCATAACGCTGATACAAGTAAGAGAAAAGAGAGAGTCCTCAGGGTCACAGCCACCAGAAATTTGGAATGTATTTCTTCTTAAGAATTTAGTTATTTGAAAGGCAGAGTGTCAGGAGAGAGAGATCATCCGTCCTCCAGTTTACCCCCCTAACAGCCGCAATAGCTAGGGCTGGTCCAGGCAGGGACTCCTTCAGGTCTCTCACATGGGTGGCGGGGGCCCAGGTATTTGGACCATCCTCTGCTGCTTTCCCAGGCGCAGGGGCAGGGATGGGAAATGGAGCAGCCAGGACTTGAACCGGCACGCATTGAGGATGCTGGCATCACAGGCGGCAGCTTAACCTGCTGTGCTACAATGACGGCCCCAGAATATGTCGGTCGTTAGTGATGGGAATGGAGAGATGACATACGAAGTACGTGTAGAAAGCTGCCCAGGTCAACTTTCCCACGGCTGTCATCACCCTTGAAGATCCAGCAGAGGGAGCTGAAACCACAGTGCAGCTGGGGAGAGATGGCGCTTCGGTCGGCTGCATCCAGACAGAGCTCCTAGACACTGATTGTTGGATCAGTACACCTGAAACTGAACTTGGTGTGCCCACCTACCTTAAATCGCGTTCCTCTCTGTATTCCCTTAGTTGGCGTCATCTCCACTGACCAGTCACTTTGAAGTCCCAAGAGTCATCACCATTTTTTAAAAAATATATATTTATTATTTATTTGAAAGACTGATTAAAAAAGAGAGAGGGAAAGACAAAGAGAAAAAAGAGAGGTCTTCCATCTGCTGGTTCACTCCCCAAATGGCTGCAATGGCTGCTGTTGGGTCAGGTCAAAGCCAGAACCCAGGATTGCATCTGGATCTCCTACGTGGTTGACAGGGACCCAGCTACCCGTGCCACCCTCTGCTGCTTACCCAGGCGCATCAGCAGGGAGCTGGATCCAAAGGGCAGCATCCAGGACTCACACTGGCACTCCAGCATGGGATGCCGGCATCCCAGGGAGCAGCCTGACTCGCCGTGCCCCAACAGCAGCGCCAGCACCATTCCTCCAGCAAAACCCGCATCTCCCCTGTCTCCAACATCACTGCAGATCTCCCCGCTGTCTCTCTGCCTCCAGCCTCTTCCCATAACACTCACCTCCCACCTCGCCCACACCGTGACTTCTAAAATGCAAATCTGACCATGTCATTCCTTGCTTAAAGTGGTTCCCTTACAGCAGATGTGTGGCCTAGCAGTCAGGATCCCCACGTGCCGTATTGGAGGGCCCAGAGTTGAAACCCACCTCCAGCTCCTAACACCGGCCTTCTGTCAGTGCACACCCTGGGAGACAGCAGTGGTGGCTCAAGTAATTGCCGAATGGCCAAATACCCCAAGGGGTCAACATCACTGCTGGGTGAACACCACTCTCTTGGGGCTGATGCCATGGTGCAGTGGGTTAATCCTCCACCTGTGGCATCGGCATCCCACATGGGCACTGAATCTAGTCCCTGCTGCTCCACTTCCGATCCAGCTCTCTGCTATGGCCTGGGAGAGCAGTGGAGGATGGCCCAAGTGCTTGGGCCCTGCACCCGCGTGGGAGACCTGGAAGAAGCTCCTGGCTCCTGGCTTCAGATTGGTGCAGCTCCAGCCATTGCAGCCATTTGAGGAGTGAACCAACAGAAGGAAGACCTTTCTCTCTGTCTCTTCCTCTCACTGTCTATAACTCTACCTGTCAAATAAAATAAATAAAATCTTAAAAAATGAAATTAAAATAAAACCCCTCTCTTTGCACTGTGAAGATAGAAAGGACAAAGTCAGATGAGATCCACTTTGGGATCCACATGGAAGACCTGCAATGCATTCCTGGCTCCCAGACCTGACCCAACTTCAGCTGTTGTGTTGGGGCGGGGGGGGGGGGGCGGTATCTTACTGCTTCCTGTGGCTGCAAGGCCCAGCTCTCAAGGTCTACCTGGGTATACCACTCAACTCTTACCAGGACCCGACGTGGATCTCCTGACCCCCTCCTTCCTGTCTTCACAGTGCAAAGAGAGTGCTTTCCAACCAGGAGTGATTCTGACCCCGTGGAACACTTGGCAATGTCTGCCGGCTTGGCCATCACAACTGGGGACCAGATGCCGTATGAATCTAGAGGTACAGGTTGGGGATGTTGCTAAAGGCAATGCATAAGACAGCCCCTCCCCCCAACAGCAAAAGTTAGTTCATCAGGTACAAAATGTCAGCTCTGGGACAGGCGCTTGGCACAGCGGTTAGGATACTGCTAGAGATGCTCACGTCCCCTATCAGAGTGCCTGGCTTTGAGCCCTGGCTCTGGTTCCTGGTCCCAGCTTCTTACCGTTGCAGCCTCTCAGAGCCAGCAGGGATGACGCCAATCACTGGGCTCCTGCCACTCATCCAGGCAGATCGGGACGGGTTAGGCCTAGGGAATCTGGGGCGTACACAAGCGGCTGGGGGCACTCTCTCTCTCTCGTTGTCTTTCTGCCTTTCAAATAAATACATTGTTTTAAATTTACGATTTTCAGTGTCATCTCATGCCAACAAATTGCAGCTTTTCCGCTGAATAATCCATACAAATCAATACTCCCTCCACTTATCTAGATGGATATAAAATTTCAAAGCATGTGTATAATATTTTCATAGCATGAGTATAAACATTTCAAAGAATGTGTAGAATAATTTAAAAAGTCCCACATTCTTTCCATCTTAGAAACACAAACTCAAAAGTCAACAACTTTTAATTATCTTCCTCTTCTCCTAGTTACTGTCTTCCCACAGATACCAGTCTCTTGAATCAAAACAAGGAGGCAAGTGTTGAGTTTAAAAGTCCGTGCATGTAATATTTGCAACAAAGGGATGAGCAAAGCGTTTAATTACAGAGGAATCCAAAGAAAACAGCATTGTAAGAGCAGATGAGGCCAGGCTGCTGCAGACTCCGCACTAACTCGGCCTCCCCAACTCCCCCACCTGCCAGAGATGCTGAGTCAAGCTTCCTGCCGTCCTTGCATTCACTGTCCCCCCAGACTTTATTACACTGCCGTCATTCATGGAGTTAGAAAGTTAATAATGATGGGTTAGCTGACTTGTCAGTGGTCAAAGGAGCAAGGGAGACGGAGCAAAGGCAGCAGAGAACAAGCACCTAGTGTGGGCTCCGACACCCGCTAGGGCTTTTTCTCACTGGCTTTCTCCTACAGGAAATGTTTCTATCCTATTGAAAACCAGAGAATAGTTTGGAGAATATCATTCGGCCAGATATCCTGCTCATTCTTGGGGTAAAACTTTAGGTGGAGGTGGGTGTTTGGCCTAGTGGCTAAGGCTGCTGGCTGGGACACCTGTATCCATGTCAGAGTGGCTGGGTTAGAATCCTGGCTCTGCATCTTATCACAGCTCCGTGCTAACGTGCCCCCTGGGAGGCAGCAGGTGAGGGCTCAAGTGTGTGGGGCTGTGCTGTAACGCTGAATTCTTGGCTCCCAGCTTCCCAGCCACTGTGAGCATTTGAGAAGTGAACCAGAGGATGAGAGTTCTGTGTCCCTGCCTCTCAAGTAAGTTTTAAAAAAATTAAAATCGTGCTGGCATCCCATATGGGCGCCAGTTCTAGTCCTGGTTGCTCCTCTTCCAGGCCAGCTCTCTGCTGTGGCCAGGGAGTGCAGTGGAGGATGGCCCAAGTGCTTGGGCCCTGCACCCCATGGGAAACCAGGAGAAGCACCTGGCTCCTGGCTTCGGATCTGCGCAGCGCCGGTCATGGCGGCCCTTTGGGGGGTGAACCAACAGAAGGAAGACCTTTCTCTCTGTCTCTCTCTCTGTCTGTAATTCTACCTGTCAAATAAATTTAAAAAAAAATTAAAATCAAGGTGTGATGTTGTTATAAGAGACTCTAGATAGGGCTCTATATCAAATTAATTCATAACAGAATCAAAGGCTGAGGGGGAAAAAAGTCAATGTTTCATACTTTTCCCAAGAGAGGAACCTCTACAGGATGATAAAGAAACTAATTATGAGAAAACTAAATAAATCATACGTCCCTCCCTGTGGGCCACATGCAACTTCAGAAGTTTATTTTATGATTTACTTTATTTATTTGAAAGGCAGAGTTACAGAGAGGCAGAGAGAGAGGTCTTCCATCTGCTGTTCCAACAGCTGGAGCTGGGCTGATCTGAAGCCAGGAGCCAGGAGCTTTTTCCAAGTCTCCCATGCGGGTGTGGAACGCAAGCACTCGGGCCATCTTCTGCTGCTTTCCCAGGCACATTAGCAGGGAGCTGGGTTGGAAGTGGAGCAACCGGAACTCCAACCAGAACTCATATGGGATGCCTGCATTGCAGGCTGGGGCTCTAACCCACTGCGCCACGGCGCCGGCCCCCAGAATTTTTCTCAATGGGTTGTTCTCGGCAGGAGCTATCAATGGAGGCAGGCATGTGAAAGGAAATCATTCCCTCCTGTGCTGCCTATGCAATGATCAGGCTTAGTGAACAAAGCACTTCAGAACTCTGCTATTTCACTGTATTCCCAGTGGTCTAACTCGGAGCCTATGGAAGAAAATAGTGGAAGAGTTTTTCCAGACCGGTTTGTTACTTTGGGTTCACATACATGAATACAAGCCCGCATGCATAATTAAATAATTAAATGACTGCTAAAAAGTAGGTTTTGCCTTTAAAAAACCCCCTCCACTGCTACTCCGGGCTGTCTTCTCCGGCCTTGCTCTGAAAGGGCGCTCACCAGCTGGCTAATAAAGACTCCTAATTCGACCTCAAAAGTCTCGCGTGACCCACAGCACCGCCGCTGGTTCCCTCCCCAAATGGCCACAGTGACCCCGGCTGGGCCAGGCCATCTGGTGGGCCGGGGGCGGAGCCGGCCCCAGCTCTTTAAGGCCCTGGGCACCCTGCAGGCGCCCCGCCACCCTCGCGCGCGCTGAGCCCTGAGGATGGAGACGAGGCCCCGCAGCTCCTCCAGAGAGGCGCACGGGCGAGGGCGAGGCGGCGGGTCCCCCCACAGGCAGAACAAGAAGGCCAAGGCCAAGGCCGGCGGGGGCCGCGGGCGCCGGGAGGCTGCGCCGGAGCGCCGGAGCTCTGGGCGGGCGGGGAGCCCCGAGGAGCCCCGCGCGCCCGCCGCCACCGTCACCGCCACCGTGGTGGACGTGGACGAGGTCCGGGGCTCCGGCGAGGAGGGCACCGAGGTGGTGGCGCTGCTGGAGAGCGAGCGGCCAGAGGAAGGTAGGGCGGGCGGGGCGGGCCGCTCAGGTGGTCAGGTACCCGGAGGGGAAGCCGCCTTGTTCAGTGGTGGCCGTGGGATGGCACAGTGGCGCCCCAGGCACCGAGCGCCCCCGGAGCCTGAGCAGACTGGGCACGCTGGGCTCCTGGGGAATGAAATGCATGAGGACCCCCAGGCGCATCAGAGGAAATACAGGCAGAGGGGCAGTGGGTGCGCAGCCCGCCTCCCACGTAGGAGCACCTGGGTTTGACCCTGGCCCAGTTCTTCCTGGCTACATTCTGCAAATATTGACTGAGCACAAAATATTGGGCCAGGCACTATTCTAGAGCCTGCAAACGCACCCTAAACAGGACAAGCCCCAAGAAGCTTTGTTTTCCTTGAGGTCGATGACCCTGCATACCATTTATCACCGGAGCACCCTGGGTGCTTCCCACCGCGGTTCCCCGCTTCTTTAACCAGAACTAACAGGCTCATGTTAGTCCCCATGGGTGATATGCACTCTGGAGCTCAGCACCTCAGTCCAAAGAAGGGGCTGTACTGGGAGAATTTCAGACAGTAGCCCAGGCAGAGAATGGAGAGGCCATTCCAGGGGAGAGGCACCTCTGGGCACGTGTGGTTTCAGTCACAACAAGTGGTAAAACCTGACGTTCGTGTAAGCATGATCGTTTTAAATATGCCATTTGATCATTATGCTAGTGATATGAGATAAACCTTAGGAGACAGTTATGAGTTAGTATCCTCACTGGATAGCAGAGAAATCTGAGGTTGAAAGAGGTCACGTGCCTTACTGAAGGTCTCCTGGACATTGAATGGGAGGGCCAGAACCGGAGCCCAGATATGCTGTAGACGCACTGCCTTCCCAAAAGCCCCACAGAGGCTGCACCCCAGCAGCACCCCAGGCCCTGTGACCTCTGGTCACTCTGATGTCCAGCTCTTTCTAGTGTTTCTAGAGTCTCCAAGCTGCCTCGACCCCACTCGAAGGACTGGAGCATGCGCAAGGCTGTAGGTATGGCTGTTTCCATACACTGACTCCTCTTTCTTTCCTCAGGTACCAAGTCCTCAGGTTTAGGGGCCTGTGAGTGGCTCCTTGTCCTCAGCTCCCTGCTCCTCATCGTCGTGACTTTCCCCTTCTCCATCTGGTTCTGCATAAAGGTGAGGCCCCACGAGGACACGCGGTCGCTCCCTGGACCCCTCATGGGACTCTGTCTGTGCACGGTGCTGCTCTGTGTGGAATGCCCTCCTCCCACTCACCTCCCCTGTGTCCTACAGACAGTGTATGATTGGCAGGCTCTTGAAGGGGTTGGGCCACAAAGTCCAGCGGTGACTCAGCCATGCGCTGTGGGGAAGGTTCTCAGGTCTGGTCACTGGAGACGGGAAACTCTAAGAAGCCAAGTAGGTAGAGGACTCGAAGGCAGAACCAGCCAGCTACATTTCAACAAGGTCTTCAAGGAGTGAGATGCCCCCTGCATCTCTGGGAAGAATTTGTTCCTTCCAATCAAAGCAGGAGGAAAACCCACACACTGCTGGGGATCCAGATAATTAGGAATTTCTGGGGCACGCTCTAGGAACCAAACTGAGACATTCCTTCTCAATAATGGTTTCAACAAGCAAAGCACTTTTCAGATACAGGAGTCTCACCTGCATAACAATGAACTAGCCATGGTTACGGACTTCCAGGGACCCACAGTGGGGTGGTAGAATCTGCTACCTTCAGGACATATTCCTCAAGGTGCCTTTGCTACATTTTTATACAGCTGGTCCCTGACATGGAAAGTTAACTCATAATTTTCAGACTTTACTACAGTGCAAAGCAATATATGTTTAATACAGAGGCCATACTTCAAATTTTTTTGTTATTATTCAAAAACCAATTTATTTAAAACAAAGGGACAGGGGCTGGTATTGTGGCATGGTGGGTTAAGCTACCACCTGAGAGCTGGTTCGAGTCCCAGCTGCTCCACTTCCAGTCCAGTTCCCTGCTAATGCGCCTAGGAAGGCAGCAGAAGGTGACCCAAGTACTTGGACCCCGCAACCATGTGGGAGACCCAGAAGAAGCACCTGGCTCCTGGCTTTGGCCTGGCCCAGTGCCGGTCATTGTGGCCATTTGGAAAGTGAACCTATGGGATGGAAGACCTCTCACGTTCTGTCTCTGCTTCTCTCTGTAATTCTTTCAAATAAATAAAAATAAATCTTTTTTTTAAAATGAGGACTATAATACCTGTATCTCTCAGAGCTATACTTTCAAATTTGATCTTCTGGGCTAATGAGTACCATAGGATATTTCCTCTTGATGCTGGGCAGGAGCAAGCCATAGTTCCTAGTTAGCCACACGGTCACAGGATAAACAGACACTCTGCAGTGCGCGGTGTTGCCACTGTTCAGTAGATTAGGTGGATTAAGCGCATTTTTTATTTACTCTTTGCAGTTTATCAGGATGTAACCCCATGGTAGGTTGAGGAGCATCCTTACTTGGCTTTTACTATTCAATAGAGTGTTTTTATTTTTTTTAAAAGATCTTTGTTTATGTATATATTTGATAGGTAGAGCCCACTATACCACAGCACTGGCCCCAAATTTTAAGTAAAGGGAGAATGAGGGGAAAAACATAGACATGTCTATGATTTCAAATCATTCCTGCTTTCATTCAATAAATATGTTTCGAACCGTGCTATGTATCAGGCATGATGTAGACGCTGGGAGAAGTAGTAATTCCATATCATCAAGGCGTACACAGTCTGGTGGGGCACATTCATAAACAAACAGGTCAGCTAAGTGAATGGCAAACATGCAGAGAACTCAAATTCTCATGTCAGGCCAGACAGTGAAATTTATTTTTAAATAGTGTGCAGGAACTTCCACTTATCTTCTCAAATAGACAGTTCTATACAGAGAATCTCCTTTTTTTTTGTCATTTGAAAATATCTCCACATTTTCAGGGCACACTCCGTTTTTCTAGATCCATAATTAGAATTGACATATGAAAAGCCAATGGGATCATTCTGAAGCAGCCTCAGAAGACACTGCAGTTTGAAACAAATCACCAGAATTGGTATAAAAATAAGCTGCTTGTTTCTGTCAAGTAGCTAATGAGGGATACATATCTGATACAATTATGTGGAAGTCACAACAAAATACGAGATTAAACATGCTACAAGATTGTTTTGCTTCTACTATGTCCAACATTCCCCATATCATTCTACTTGAGATAATCATGAATTTTTCATCAAAATTCCGTCCACTGCCTCAAAGACTAACATGGCCAATTTACTTCTTCATTTGTTTCTGAAATTCTGTACCTACCAAGTGTAAGACTTTTGAAATTTAAGTATCAATAGAATTCCAAAACCTAAGATTTCTTACACCCAGGATCACTCTCAAGCTAAGGTCTATTGGAGACTTCTCCTTTCAGGAAGTAATCATTCCCTGCAGGTTGTACAAGAGTATGAGAGAGTAATTATATTCAGACTGGGACATCTGCTTCCTGGAAGACCCAAAGGTCCAGGTAAGAAACTTTTTTTTCTTTTAGCCACCACCCTTCTCCACCTGTCAGTTTCTTCAATACGGGCATATTTGTGACATTCACTTTGGATTACACGAAGTAACTGATGCTTGCGTTTTCTAGTCTGTTACTTATAACACAGGCTTATGAACAAATTCGATAGACAGCCCTGCTCCCAGGCCCCAGGTGGCCAAGCGGGGAGGAGCACAGAGACCCTGCATGCCAGAGCCAGGCTGACTGGCGGAGTGAGTCAGCCTAAACCCCAGGCTCCTGGGTACAGCAAATGTACGGCCAGAGTTGTACGGCCAGAGTCCTGTGGGTTCCCAGAGAAGAGCTGAGCTAGTTCAGATCCCAGAGAGTCAATCAGATCAAGTCGCAGGTGACAGGCAAAGCTCCGAATCCAAGTAACAAATCAGTTTGTAGCTGGTGGAATGTGGGAAACGTTAGGTAAGCACGTCCTGTGTTTCAGACACTGTGCTAACTACCAGGGATATGAAGGTGGATGAAGACCACCTAGCCTCTGACCTGAAAACCTAGTGACGCTGATGGTCAGAGGTCCAAGCTGATCACAGGGCACAGATGGAAGGATGGTTAGCCTGCAAAGGGTGGGAGTTGAGATTTGAAGATCCAGGCCGGCCAGGAAGCTGTGAGAAGCAGCGGAGTACCACTGTGCGTATATTGGAAAGGGTCCCAGTTCTCAGACGAGCCTGCAAAAACAGGTAGCAAACAGAGACTAGACTAGGAAGTACAAGTCAGCGTTTGAATATGGAGAAGCAGTAGACGTCCAGGACACCAACGGTCTCGCCGTGGACCTGGTTTCGGGAGGTTTTTCTGTTGGAGCCAAGAAGGGCTGCTGTTGAGCTGGATGGAACCTGGACTCTGAGAGGCCGCTGGGACCAACAAAGCTCTGGCTCTCATAGGAGCCCGCAGTATCCAGGAGGCCCTCAGAAAATCCCCAAATGTCTACTGCACACTGATGCTCTACATTATAGTGGGTGGGTGGGGACTTGCTGGGCAGCCGGGAGGCTGGAGTCCTGACACTGCGATTCTGATTCCCTCTCGGGCTTGCGTTTTCAGAAATACCACACGTTGAGATTGATGCCTGGTACGCTCATGGGATTCAAAAATAGTTTCGCAAAGCAGCTGAAAAGTACTAAAAGTGAAACATCAAGGCTAGCAATAGCGACTCTAACACCGTACTGGGGACTTCGGTTCTAATGAAGGGAGAGACGTGCAGAGGAGCTCTGACCCCAGCCCCGCTTGCTGGGGGAGATCTCTGTACCCCTGCTGTCCCACAGTAAGCTGACTTAGAGCTCTCAAATTACCCTCAGAAGTGTCTCATATTGAATGACCAATTACCTGGTAGCCTTAGCTGCAATACAGACACTGTAGGGATGGGGGCAGGATTTCTCAGTGGTCTGTGTGTAGTTGGAGGCTAAGAAAAGCAATGCACTGTGCAAAGTGATCACAACATGGTGACCCACAACTGCCACTCTATGGTTCACCTGTCACTTCCCTCTCCCCCTCCTTAGGTCTTTTCTTCTTTTTGCCTTGCCTGGATACCTACCACAAGGTTGACCTACGCCTCCAAACCTTGGAGATACCTTTTCATGAGGTAGGCTAAAGGGTGGCTTTTGCTTTCTCTCTGATTTTACATGGCCTCACTAGCATCTCTGGTCCAGGGCACAATAACAATGTATACTCAAAAGTAGGTAATAAAAGTCAAGATATGGACTATAGCAGAATTGAAAGCTTGTGGGCATCAAGGAACATGGTCGACAGAGTGAAAAGGCAACCTGTGGAGTGGGAGAAAATAATTCTAAATCATGTATCTCATAAGGGTTGATATCTAGGATATACAGAGACCACACATCTCAGTAGCAACAACTTAAAAAAAAAACTCAATTTAAAAATGGGCTGAAGAGTTTGTGATGGTTAATATTACATGTCAGCTTGGCTACACGTTGGTCATTTGGCCTCTATTTGATCAAATACATCTAGATGCTATCAAGAAGGTATTTTTCTCATTTTTAAAAAGTTTTGAGAGGCAGAAAGAGACCGAGGGATCGATGTGCCATGTGCTGGTTCACTGAAATGCCCACAGTAGCCAAGACTGAGCCAGGATGAAGCTGGAAATCAGGGATTCAATCCAGGTCTCTCCCTCGGGTGGCAGGGACTCAACTACTCGAGGCGTCACGGTTTCCTCCCAAGGAAGCTGGAATCGGGATCAGAGCTGAGACTTGAACCCAGGTGCTTTGAAATGGGATGCTGGCGTGCCCACCTATGGCTTAACCACCAGGCCAAATACCTGCTTTGCCCCAAGGCAAATTTTTTTTATGAGATAAACACTTAAATCGGTGTACTCTGAATGAAGTAGCCTCCCTAATGTGGGTAGTCCTCCCTCAGCCAATCAGCTGACGTCTCCAGGAAAGACTGACCTCCCTCTGAGGAGGAGGGAACTCGGGAGACAGCGTCAGCGGCTCCCTGGGTCTCCAGCCTCACAACTGCATAGGCCAGTCTCTTCTTAAAGATTTATTTTATTTATTTGAAAGGCAGAATTACAGAGAAAGAGAGGGCTTCCATCCACCGGTTCACTCCTCAAATGGCCGCAATGGCCCAGGCTGAGCCAAGCCTAAGCCAGCAGCCAGGAGCCTCTTGCAGGTGTCCCATGTGGGTGCAGGGGCCCAGGGACTTGGGCTGTGTCCTCTGCTTTCCCAGGCCACAGCAGGGAGCCGAGCCAGTCTCCTGTCTCTTGTCTCTCTCTTTCCTGCCAACCTGTCCTTCCCCTGTAAGTACACGTGCACCCCCCAACACACACACACACACACACACACACACACACAGTCTGTGCTTCTGTATTTTGGAGAATCCTAATATAAAACTTGATAGCTCTTTGTCCAAAGAAGATATACAGGGAAGGCGAAGACATACAGATGACTAGTGCATATGGGAAAAGATGTTTAATATTGCTAATCTTTAAGGAAACACGAACAAAAACCACAGTGATACCACTTCATGCTTATTAAGATGGTTACTAAAAAAATAAATAAATAAAACTAAGCAGCGGCTCACTAGGCTAATCCTCCGCCTTGCGGCGCTGGCACACGGGGTTCTAGTCCTGGTTGGGGCACCGGATTCTGTCCCGGTTGCCCCTCTTCCAGGCCAGCTCTCTGCTGTGGCCCGGGAGTGCAGTGGAGGATGGCCCAAGTGCTTGGGCCCTGCACCCCATTGGAGAGCAGGAGAAGCACCTGGCTCCTGGCTTCAGATCAGCGCAGCGCACTGGCCGTAGCGGCCATTTGAGGGGTGAACCAATAGAAGGAAGACCTTTCTCTCTGTCTCTCCTCTCACTGTCTAACTCTTCTTGTCAAAAATAAAAAAAATTTTAAAAAAATTAAACCAAAGCCAACCCAACAGACAATATTAAGTGTGAAGAGAATGTAGGCAGATGTATTGCAACCCTATGTTGATGGGAAAGTAAAGTAGGGCAGTCTATATAGAAAAGGGTATGACATCTCAAAATAGTATTACTGTGTGACCCAACAATGGCACTTCTGTATGTGCACCGAAAAGAGCTGAAGGCAGGGGGCCGACACTGTGGTGTAGTGGGCAAAGTCGCCGTCTGCAGGGCAGGCATCTCATATGGGTGCTGGTTCAAGTCCCGGCTGCTCCACTTCCAATCCAGCTCTCTGCTATGGCCTGGGAAAGCAGTGGAAGATGGCCCAAGGCTTTGGGCCCATGCACCCATGTGGGAGACCTGGAGGAAGCTCCTGGCTCCTGGCTTCAGATCAGCTCAGCTCTGGTCCTTGCAGTCAATGCAATGGGGAGTGAACCAGCAGATGGAAGACCTCTCTCTCTCTCTCTCTCCCTCCCTCTCTCTCTGCCTCTTCCTCTCTGTAACTCTTTCAAATAAATAAATCTTTTTTTTACAAAGAATTTTATTATTCCTTTTTTATTTTTTAAATTATATTTTAAATTATTTATTTGAGAGGCCTCTGCCTCTTACACAAGTAAGACAGAGAGCTCTCATTCACTTGTTCATGTCCCAGTTGCCCACAGTGGCCAGGGCTGGCCTGGGGCTGAAGCTGGGGAGTGGAGACTTAATCATTGGTGGCAAGAACCCAGTGACCGTGTTCACGGGGGCGTCCCAGGGTCTGCATTAACAGGCAGCTGGAGTCAGAAATCAAACACCCAGGCGTTCTAACGTGAGACACAGGCATCTTAATGCAAGGAAAAACACCTGCCCTCACCCTTTTACTTTAAATTAATTCATAGCATTTTGTTGTGTGTTTGTTTACTCGACCAATTCACTATTGTTGATGTTAAATTATTTCCAATAAGCAATACCGTGGGGCGAGCACTGTGGTGCAGCCGGTAAAGCCATCACCCCGCGTGCAGCGCCAGCATCCCATACGGGCACTGCTCCACTTCCAATCCAGCTCCCTGCTAATGCACTTTGGAAAGCAGCAGAGATGGCCCAAGTCCTTGGACCCCTGTGCACCCACACAGGAGACCAAGATGAAGCTCCTGGCTCCTGGCTTCTTCAGCCTGGCCCAGCCCTGGCACTGTGGCCATTTGGGGAGTGGACCTTTTTTCTTTGCTGAAATCTGGTCTGAGAAAACCCCCTTTGAATACATTTACTTCCCAGATCCCCACTTGGGACAGGAAGCCAAGACTCACTCCTGTCGTCCGCGCTTCTCTCTGCCTAGATTGTGACCAAAGACATGTTTATCATGGAGATCGACGCCGTCTGCTACTACCGGATGGAAAACGCCTCGCTGCTCCTCAGCAGTCTTGCTCACGTGCCCAGAGCTGTCCAGTTCCTTGTGCAGACCACCATGAAGCGCCTCCTAGCACATCGCTCCCTCACGGAAATTCTTCTCGAGAGGAAGAGCATCGCACACGATGTAAAGGTATTTGGAGACGTTTGATGTTGACCTTGTTGAAATCTCTCTGTTTTCTACTCATTTGTTCATTGACAGTTTACGAATGCCAGGCATGTGGGTGCTTATAGCCAGTCAGGGGGTTGCCAGATTTGATCCTGAGCCATCCACAGTTACCAGTGTGGTGCTGGTCAGTTGGTCACTGCCAGTTTTGGCTCTCAACCCTACCCAGCGACTTTAACTTCCCTGTGGAGTGCTCACAGGGTGCCCCGTGTCGGGAGTGCTTGCTGTAGGGTGGTGGGCAGGAGAGGTTGGTTCCTGGGAGCTTACAGAGAAACCAGTATCATGTGTGCAAAGTTAAACTATGGTGTGTTTAAATAAGACTTTCACACACAAAGAGCTGAGGTGTCACAGCCCATCCATGATGGACTACCCAATCACTTGTGTAGACTGCACCAACGTGGGGCAAGAGGCAGGCAAGAGAACAGAGTTTGGCCAAACTCTAGTCATTTGAGCTTGCTCTTGTTGCCCTGAATTATAATTTATGTATTCACACATTTCTTTTCCCTGATGAACTCTATAATGGCAGGAACCGTATTTTATTCCTCTCTCTGTCTGTCTGGTACTTGGGTGACAGGGCTTGCCCCACAGCAGACAGATGGTGCCTTTGGATGACTGGGTTAATGACCCAGCTGGTACAGCCTCACTCATTGCCAGCCTGGCCCATCTCTTCCTTACCGTCTCAGACCCTAACCTACTCAGCCACCTGCGGCTCAGCACTGGGGCCTCCTCTGGAGCTGTTTCCTCTGTGTGATCTCCTCCTTCCTGATTCTGCCACTGTGCTGTCTTTGTCAGGATTCCTTACTTTCACCAAGCCCCCAGGTTAGGCAGTCTTTTCAGGATTCTCGTGTGCTGACTTAGAGTTTATCCAGGCACTAAGAAGTCACCAGAAAAGTAGTTAAAAAGAAAAAAAGTAGGAGCCAACACCAAGCGCTCCAGGCCCTGCCTCTCTTTTCTAGAGCCCACAGTCCATTTTCTTCCCCCTCCAATGTCCAGCTTCAGACACCCAAGGTGAGCTTGACCAGGAAGCAAGCGAGTGGAGGGCCCCTCTAGGCGAAAGCCAGTTGAAAGCGACGTAAGAGTCTGGCTGTGTAAGAAATGAGCTCTAAAACACTATGTTTATATCTATATCTAAAACACTATATATAACATATATATAACTATATAGTTATATACAACTATATAACTAATATATATGTGTATAATACATTTTATATATTATATAATATATTTATAAATAAATATATAAATATATAAAATATATTTATAAATATATAAAATATATTTATAAATAAATATATAAATATATATTATATATTATATATGTTACTATTATATAATATTATATAAATATATATTATGTATAATATATATTATATTATATTGTATTATATATTATATATATTATATATTATATGTTATATATTATATATATATATAATACACCACCTGTAGGTTTCCTGCAGCCTCTGGTAACATTTGTCACAAACTTGTTAGCTTAAAAAAACTGTTTTGAAGATCAAGTTCGCAATCGGTTTCACTAGGTGAAAGTCAAGGTGTTAGCAGAGCTGACTGCTGGAGGGTCTGGGAAAGCATCCATCTCCTTGCCTTCCTCGGGAGGTAGCAGCTGCCTGCGTTCCTCAGTGCGTAGCCCCTTCGTCCATCTTCGACATGTGTCACTGTGGGCTCTGCTTCCATGGTCATATCACCACCTCCTCTGCGGTGGTTCGGTCTCCCTCTCCCTGTCCCTTATCAGGGCCGTGTGATTACATCTGGGGTCCACCTGCGTCATCTTCGCATGGCGAGATCCTTTAACCCACAGGCCCCAGGGATTGGACATGGACATCTTTGGGGGCCATCATTCAGCCTACTGTACTGTCTTTAACTCCACAAATACTTGTTGAGTGGCATCATGCAAGTTAAACACCTCGTTGCAAGGCTCGGGGAAGGTAACCCAGCCAGCACAGGCAGTTGCGTCCCTCAAAGGGACAGACAGTTCCTCCGAGGTCGGCACCGCGGCCCCCAGCGCGGAGGTGTTGTACTCGGCGCCCAGGTTCCTGCCGCTGGGTCCTCACTGATGTCTCCGCTCTTCCCTCCACAGGTTGCCCTGGATTCAGTGACCTGCGTCTGGGGGATCCAAGTGGAGCGAACAGAAATGTGGGTAGGAAGTTAACCAGGAGCCGCGGTGCGACACGGAAACAGTGTGGTTTCACTGCGTGTTTTTCATTTGAAAAATTATTTTAGTTTTCAGTACTACAATAGCAATGAAATTATCAAGAAAACTTTCCCCTTAAAAATTATTTCATTGAGTACTATTTAGCCATAGTAGCATAAATTTGGAAAAAAAAAGATTATTCCATATCTCATCGCCGTAAACCACTGGACCATATAGCCAAATTACTCTTCTGTTTTCTTCTCTAGGCATTTACACATTTTTTAAGTTAAAATTTACATAAAACTTCCCATTTGAATGTGTACAGCTCAGTGGTTTTAGTCTGTTTGCAAACCATTGCTGCGACAAAGCCTCGCTTCCTGACACAAGCACTGCCCGTCCCTCTTGCAGCCACTGCTTTAGCTTCTGTCTCCATAGATCTGCCTGTTCCGGACGTTTCGTGTAAGTGCAGCCATCTGATAGACGGGCTTTTGTGCCTGGTTGGTTTTCATTTAGCATTTTCCCAGGGTTCATCGTGGTCTCACACAAATCGACTCTTCATTCCTTTCTATAGTTAAGTAACACTCCCCTGTACCGATACCCAAAATGTCGTTCACACATCTACCAATCAACCGATGTGGGCTGATTCCACACTCTGCCTGTCGTGGTAATGTGATGAGCGCTCCTTTGCAAGTTTTATATGACCATGTTTTCAGTTCTCTTGCAGACATACCCAGGAGTGGGATTATTGGGTTCTTTGGTAACTTCTATATTTAGGTTTTCTTGGGAATGCTAAGCTGTTTTCCATGTACAATTTTTTCACGGTAATCACTAGGAAAGACTATTTATTTATTTATTTATTTTTTTATTATTTTTTGACAGGCAGAGTGGACAGTGAGAGAGAGAGAGACAGAGAGAAAGGTCTTCCTTTGCCGTTGGTTCACCCTCCAATGGCCGCTGCGGCCGGCGCGCTGCGGCCGGCGCACCGCGCTGATCCGATGGCAGGAGCCAGGAGCCAGGTGCTTCTCCTGGTCTCCCATGGGGTGCAGGGCCCAAGCACCTGGGCCATCTTCCACTGCACTCCCTGGCCACAGCAGAGAGCTGGCTTGGAAGAGGGGCAACCGGGACAGAATCCGGCGCCCCAACCGGGACTAGAACCTGGTGTGCCGGCGCCGCTAGTTGGAGGATTAGCCTAGTGAGCCTCGGCGCCGGCCCAGGAAAGACTATTTTGTACCTGTAATGCGATGCATTAGTATTGTTCTTATTTGGTCATTCCCTTTTATTCTCTTTATTAACAGTATGGCCCATCAAGGCCGTTTTCCTTGTTGGAATTTAATAATTGGGGTTTAGGTAAAGTCTTACTCAGAGCGACACAGCCATCGCCCGGAGTCTGCAGCGCTCCTCAGGGAAGCCGGGGGCTCTGCCCGGCCGCGCCCCGAGGCTCAGAGGCTCACCGCGCCCCTGGGACACCAGCACACGGGGCTGCAGGCTGCGGACTGCCGGCTGCCGCACACCCACCCCTCGCCCTCTCTCTCTTCCAGTAAAGATGTGAGGCTGCCGGCTGGGCTCCAGCACTCGCTGGCTGTGGAAGCCGAAGCACAGAGACAGGCCAAAGTGCGGGTGAGCCGGCGCTGGGAGCCCGGGGTGGGCCTGCCTGCCTCCCCTCCGGGCCCCTGCCCTGCGTCCCCCCGACCCAAGTCTCACTGCTCTGAAGAGCGTGTCCTGACCAGTCCACTCAACCCCCTCTCTCGGAGGCTGCTGCTCACCACGCTGCCTCCTGGGCTCCCGCGGGCACTAAAGTCCCCTTCCCCTGCCCAGTCCCATCCCCCCCCCACCCCGCCTCTCTCACTGTGTGTCTCCGTCACCTGTCATCTCTGGGTTAGTGACCTCTCCTTAGCTCAGACCCGTGTCCCACGCTGTGCGCAGGTTTGGAGGGATGGCCATGGCCAGGGCCCCGGGGGCAGCCTTGCCCCTCAGCTGCCCCAGCCGTAGGTGTCTCTGGAGTGTTGATGGGTGGGGGGCTGAGAGGAGAGATGCTTCCAGGTTTGAACTTGGCCGCTGCCTGTCCCCTGTCAGGGGTGTTCCCTGTCGCACCTGCTATGGACAGCATAATGCCAGTAGCAGGGATACAAGACGCGCACCTGTCCTCCTGGAGTTGCAGTCACGTGTGTCCAGAGGTGCCAGCTGGGGTGGCATTTGGTGGCGCGCCTGGCACGTCACTTTGCCCCTGTGGGAGTCACGCTGGGTGAGCTCCAGCCTTTGCCAGGAGCGCTGACCAACCTCTGCTTGCCTGGCCACGGCCCTCAGCAAAGGCCACCACACGTCCTGGTCCATGTCCATCTGTCTTCCCTAGCTCGGGAGCCTTGAGAGAGAAGACTGACTGTGATGGTGCCTGTCACGTGGGCGCTCACTGCCGCTTTGCTGGGTCACACTAATCGCCACCCAACCTTCCTGGAATGAGGACCGGTCTCTGCTCCCCCCGCGTGTTTTCTAGATGATCGCCGCAGAAGGGGAAAAGGCCGCCTCGGAGTCCCTGCGCAGGGCGGCTGAGATCCTGTCGGGCACCCCGGCGGCCGTCCAACTTCGGTACCTGCACGCCCTGCAGTCGCTGTCCACAGAGAAGCCCTCCACGGTGGTGCTACCGCTGCCCTTCGACGTGCTCAACCTCCTGTCTCCCACGGGCAGCCGGGCGCAAGGAAGCATCCCCCTGCCGAATCCTCCCAAGCCCGTGGAGCCGCTGGACCCCAAAAAGAAGGACTCGCCCATGCTGTAGGGGGCTGGGGCCGAGCATCGGCGACTGTGTGTGTGTATGGGGGGGTGCTGCCATGTAAAGGCACGCCCGCCCAGCGAGGCTCTGTCCTCACTTCCTGCCCGCCCTCGGGTTGCCACTGGGAGTGCAGGTCCCACTGCAGCAACCCGTGAGACGGGGTGACATCAGGCCAGGGTGTGTCACCCACGGGCAGATCACTGACCCCTCAATTATGGGAAGAGCTTTAGTCCACTTCGTCTTTTGGAATGAGCGCGCCTCTGCAGGCTTAGTCCCAACGTCCTTTGCTCCGAATGTCCCCCGCCCCTTGCCGAGGCCTGTGCGGCCGCCACAGCCCTTAGTGCCCCTGTCGTTGCGCTCGGCCCGCTGTCCTGGCGTCCTGTCCCTAAGGTACAGGGGCCTCTCGGCCCTCCGGCTGTTCTGCCGAGGCCGTCACAGCCGGCAGCTTTCGGCTTCGCCTCACCTTGCTCACCCCCAGCCCCGAGAGTGGGCGCCAGGCACCTGCATGCTCCCGAGTGAATGGAAGAAAAAGAAATGCACTCAGGTCATTACAGAATTTATGCCTAATTAAAGCAGTGTAAAGGAAGTATTTTTATGGAGACTTTAGAGTAGATAAACAGATGAACATTTATCTGATGCTTACAATCTGAGAATGACACAGGGCCTGACAGTGAGCTGCTCATTTGCTGACAGCTGCCCATTTCCTCCAACAATAACACCATGCGACTTATATGCCCTGAGTATTCTTTCCTGCTACAAACATTTAAGAACATAAAGACATTCCCATATCGTCCATAGCTTGTCTATACAATGTGAAATTAATATCTACAGAAAAAATAAACTAAGTAAAAAAGCATATCTAAGTATACAAGTTCTCTATAAGTTAAAAAAAAAGTAACATCATAAAACATTTCTTGACTAAAATAAAATTAGAAAAGCACTACTTACGATGGGAGTTACCATGTTGCCGGCACAGATGGAGGTGGCTGTCCCAAGAGCCCCAGTATCTGCTTCTCTCCAGTTTGAACTGCCCGTTGATTCTTCATGTGACATGATGCCATCATTTTATGCTGGAGATGTGTTCCTTCCACCACCACCACCACCCCCACCCCCGCCATGCAGGCTTAAAACCCTGTGTAGGAAAGCACCCATGGAAGGTTTTCCATCATCAGCGTTGGCCCAGGAAGCTGCTGAGCATGGTTTCCAAGAGAAGATGCACCTGCACTCCTAACAGCAGGTCCAGAAATTGTCGGAACACTTTGTTGGAGACAGACCGTTTTCCACTGTGTGTAAGTAACAGGAGGGGGGCCCATGGTTGAGGAAGCCTGGCCTATCTAGCATCTCTCAGTCACCTTAGTAGTCCCTCCCTCTCAGCCATCCCACTGTCCTAAAAAATAAAAAAATTCCCGTGCAGTGTATTGTGAAATGATTTATCTCGGGTCACCTCTGTTGTAGGTTCCCAGGCTACTTTCTTACCAGCCAGGAAAACCACACATTCTAGACTGCCTCCGGACGCCTTCTCAGCCCTGTTAGGTCCTGGGACTTCAGCCAAGCAACACCCCTCAGGATTACGTAGAACTTTCAGATTTCAAAACCCACATTCTCGTACAGCCATGGCAAGTTCACTCATCGAGGCAACAATCTGCTTAGAAAGTGACTATATGTTGAGGTGGTTAACTTTCAATTTTGTTTCACAAAGGTATTTTATCCAGTTCTGAAACCTGTTTCCTTATCTTACTGAAAGGCGAGTGTCCCCAGCCCCTATTCTCGGGGTGTGCCGAAAGCCACAGCCACGGATGGAGCCGTGTCTGCTGGAGGCCACGGGAGCTTCGGAAGCCCAAGGGGAGGCAAAGCTCAAACCACGCAGCAGTGCCAAAGTACAACATGGCAAATGCAAAAGGCCGGTGCAGCCATGTAAGCCAGAGGCAGGAGAGAAAGTCCCAGAGAGAAGAAAGTGAGTGTTGATGAGGCTGCAGTAGACAGGAACCTGTCTTCTAAATAATCATAATCATAATGACACTTTTCATTTCCTAGCCTCCTTTTCAGAGGTTAAAGTCTTCAAAAAGAATTCTTTTCTTGACCAGAAATGGACACGTTTCACAGCGCTCTGTTAGGAAATCAACCAAAGAGAAGGATAAACTTTTGCACAGCTATCTTTAATCCGGGAAGCACCTGTTAGGACGCACTAGCTGCCTGCAGCCGTGACGGCCACCATGAGGAGACGCGCTCCTGGGTTGAAGGCTGTGGCTCTTCCGCAGCGGGCTCCCAGGGACCGAGCAGCGGCGAGCAGCTCCCGGCCGCGCCATCTGGCTGTGCTGGCTGGCTGTGGCCGTTGTGAGCCGCGGCGCTCTCCCGCTGCTACTTGGGCTTGGTCTTACTGTATTTACCCCGGCTTTTGGATTTAACGTTGCCAGTGCCTTCCTTAACGTTGCCAATGCCTTCCTTACGTGACGCTTCTAAAAAGAAACAATAGGGAGTGGTAGAAGGAATATGTTCACAAAGAGCTTTTCATTTTACAAAGCAGTTTTAAAATTCCATTCTGCCCGAGCAATCCCCAAGCTACAAATAAGTCCTGTGCCAAAATGGTTGACTCAAGATTGGTTGCTGGGGGTCAGAATGCATTCCCCAAGTTTAAGTGTGGTCAGGTAATCGCCTGCGTCCTGGGTCCTGGGGCAGGGGGCCATGTGGCCGGGGAGTGTGGAGAACAAGAGGGAGAGCATTTCCTTCTTCCTTCCTAGACACATCCCATGTTTGGTAGGGGAAAAAAACCCAAAATTTCAAACGAAGTTAGCCAGCACAATGCCCCCCCCCCATCCACTCCCGCACCCCTCTCTGCTGTCTCTGTGCACAGCCTGACCCCTGGGGCAGGCCCAGGAGGCCTCCGGCTCTCCCACCTGCCCTTCCTCTTCCTTGCACGCCCATGAACACTGGCTCCAGCCACCCAGCTGCCCAGTGAGAATCCTTGGTATGGGCCGCGGCCCCCTCCACTCCCCATTGGGTCGCTTTGTTCAGGCCTCCTATTGTTTTAGGGCGTGTCCCCACACCCAACTGTAGTCCCACAGGGACTAAGCCATAGCTATCACTGCGAACGCCCTTCTCCATTCCTTTCTTTACTTACACCTCAGGGGACAGTGATTTGCTGTTTACTAAAAATGCCAACATCAAAACAAATATGGGGCCCAAGCTGTGGTGCAGCGGGTGAAGGCCCTGGCCTGAGGTGCCGGCATCCCATATGGCCGCCAGTTTGAGACCTGGTGGCTCCACTTCCCATCCAGCTCTCTGCTGTGGCCTGGGAAAGCAGTAGAAGATGGCCCAAGTCCTTGGGCCTCTGAACCCGCGTGGGAGACCCAGAAGAAGCTCCGGGCTCCTGGCTTTGGATCGGCGCAGCTCCGGCCGTTGCAGCCATCTGGAGAGTGAACCAACAGATGGAAGACCTCTCTCTGTCTCTACCTCTCTCTGTGTAACTCTGCCTTTCAAATAAAAATAAATCTTTAAAAAAAAAAAAAAAAAAAACAATATGAGCACGTCCCCCTGCTCTGCCCAGGCCTTCACTCTTCACTCAGAATTCACAAAGCTCCTCCCTTCCTCACATGTCATTGTCCACTCTCACTGCACCGCTCTTGGGGGGGAAGTGAGTTCCCTGCCCCAACTCCTACGCAGGCAGCAGCGGCAGGCTGCTCCAGAGGTGTGGGGAGCAAACCGGACTAGACTGAGTTACTGGAATTAGGACTTATTCTATGCATCTGCTCTCCCACAATATGGCGCTGGGAGAGAAGTAAACAGCTTCCGCACAGCTGCCTCCAGTTCAACTAATAAACTGTAGGACTTGCTCCTGATTGGAGGAGAGCAGCGTACTCGGCGTGTGGGTAGCCGAGTTGGGATTGGCGGAGGAGGACTATAAAGGAGGAGAGAGACGGCATGCACCAGGAACATCTATGGGGAACATCTAAGGGAACCCGTGCAGCCCCCAAGAAAGCCGGCCGGCGGTGTGCCGCTCCCCTGCGGAAGTGGGGATTGTGGCCAGGGGGAACTGCCCTTCCACGGAGGTGGAAGGGATAGTAGCCAACCCGGGAAGAACCAGCAGCAAACCCGGGGAGGGCCGAGCAGACGAAAGAACAGCGCAGGGTCCTGTGTCGTTCCTCCATGAAGAGGGGGAGCGACATAATGGTGCCGTGACTCGGATGTGAAGCCTAGGCAGGGTTCTGTGTCGTTCCTCCACGAAGAGGGGGAGCGACATAATGGTGCCGTGACTCGGATGTGAAGCCTAGGCAGGGTTCTGTGTCGTTCCTCCACGAAGAGGGGGAGCGACACAGAGGCCACCTGCTCACCTAGTGATTTTCTGGAGAAACCACTCAGCTGCCCCAAGGCTTCTCCCGCTGTGCCCTGGGGCCCTCCACCTGGTAGGAGTGTTCCGGAGAGGGGGAGGCTGGCCGTGCGGCTTGCGAGCTGGGGACTGACTGCATGTGGTTATCCCCACCTCCCACCGCATCCTGGGGACCTCTGTGAGAATGCACAGAACTAAATTCCGTGTTTCACGTGCGGCAGGGCTTCTGAATGGCTTACAACCTCACCTTCCTGCATCGGGAAAAGCTTAGTTCTCAAATGATTGGGTTACAACTCTATCTGGAATACGAAAGGATGAGGTTTCTTTAAATTCATAAAAATTATCTCTTATGTTACACTCAACCTAAAAAGAGAAGACTGTCACCCCTGGGATAAATACCATCTTCACCAGTTCAGAGTTGACAGCAACAGAGAAAATGAGTTTCGACACCTCCCCCCACCCCCCACCACCCCACCCCACCCCGCCCAGCGTGATGCCCCTGTACGTGGCCAGCAGCCGTGAGGGCTCGGCTGGGAGGTGCAGACAGAGGCGATGGGGGAGAGCAGAAAGCAGGCATTGTCCCACGGTTAGCCCCTGCATGAGGACTGGCGCAGGGAACAGACCACACGCTGGGGTGACACCAAACTCAAGAAACAGCCTCTAATACAGAACACACTAAGGGTGCCTGTGGGCAGGTTACTGCGCCAATCAGATATATGAGAAAGAAAAGGTAAATGCCTTTTACTGTGAAATAAAGTAAAATTTTAAATCTTTGAAAATTTCAACAAATAGCAAAAATAAAATAAAGACAAAATTCTCCATAAGTCTCTATTGCCCAGGGACAACATCTGTTATTGTTCGGGAATATTTCAGTCTTTTTTCTAGGTTTAAAAAATTGTGTCACATATTGCTTCTTGCACTCCATTAAAAAAATTATTTATCTATTTGAAAGTCAGTTGCACAGAGAGAGGGACACACACATACACACACTTTCCATCCGCTGGTTCACTCCTGAAATGGCTGCAATGGCCAGGGGTAGGCTAGGCCAAAGCCAGGAGCCAGGAGCTTCCTCCAGGTCTCCCACATGGATGCAGGGGCCCAAATACTTGGATCATCTTCCGCTGCTTTTCCCAGGCAATGGGCAGGGAGCTGGATCGGAAGTGGAGCAGCTGGGACACAACCAGCACCCACGCAGGTGGCAGCTTACCCACTATACCGCCAATACCGGCCTCTGCACTTCATATTTTAACCTAAAAATTTCCCATGTAACTACAAAATCCTTGTGAACAGCATTTTAATAGTCATATAATATTCAGGTATACTGATGTAGTATAATTTATTTCGTCTTCCTTCTATGATTAGAAAGGTATGTTGGGGGCTGGCACTGTGGCGTAGCAGGTAAAGCCACCACCTGCAGTACCAGCATCTCATATGGTGCCGGTTTGAGTCCTGCTGCTCCACTTCTGATCCAGCTGTCTGCTATGGCCTGGGAAAGCAGTGGAAGATGACCCAAGTGCTTGGGCTCCTGCACCCACATGGGAGACCCGGAAGAAGCTCCTGGCTCCTGGCTTCGGATTGGCACAGCTCCCGCCATTGTGGCCATCTAGGGAGTGAACCAGCGGATGGAAGACCTCTCTCTCTGCCTCTCCTTCTCTCTCTGTGTAACTCTTTCAAATAAATAAACAAATATTTTTTAAAAATAAGGAAAATCTTTGCCAGTTTAGTAAGTAAAAATGCTAACCCGTGCTAGTTTATCAAGGACTGTCAGTTCTCTGCTTTTCCCTGTTCTGAGCTGCCTGTGTAAGACACTTTAAGGTACGTGCACTCCTATGACAAGCACTGCAGGTGCTGGCGCCCCATCAGGTGCCCCGGCGCCTGCAGCCCTGCGAGGCGCGGGAGGAGCTGGCCTCACCTTTCTTCAGCGGCTTTGAGGCGCTCTGCACAGGCTTGACCTCCTCCTCCTCCTTCTCTTCGGCCTCGTCCTCCTTGCCCTCGTCTTTGTCTCCCTCAGTTTCCTCCTCCCCTTCCAACTCCTTCTTCCTGGGCTTCGTGGCCATCTCTTCCAGCTCCTTCTCCAGATCTTTGTTCC